TTGAAATCTGGGATTGTGAAACCTCCAGCTTTGTTGTTCTTTTTCAAGATTGCTTTAGCTATTCAAGGTCTCTTGTGTTTCTATACAAATTTTAGAATTATTTGTTCTAGTTCTGAGAAAAGTACTATTTGTATTTTGATGGGGACTGCACTGAATCTATAAATTGCTTCCGACAGTATGGACACTTTAACAATATTAAGTCTTCCAATCCATAAGCATGGTCTATCTTCCCATTTGTTTGTCTTTCTTTCAATTTTTTTCATCAAAGTCTTAAAGAGTTTTTAGAGTGTAGGTCTTTCACCTCCTTGATTTAATTTATTCCGAAGTACTTTATTCTTTTTGGTGCTATTGTAAATGGGATTATCTTAATTTTTCTTTCTGCTACTTCATTATTAGTGTATAGAAACACAACAGCTTTCTGTATATTAATTCTGCATTCTGCAACTATACTGAATTCATTTGTTAGTTCTAATTGTTTTTTAGTGGAGTCTTTAGGGTTTTCTATACATAGTTATGATGTAATCTGCAAATAGTGAGTTCTACTTCTTCCTTACCAATGTGGATGCCTTTTATTCATTTTTCTTTTCTGATTGCTGTGGCTAGTACTTCTAGTACTATGATGAATAAAAGTGGTGAGAGTAAACATCCTTGTCTTATACCTAATATTAGAGGAAAAGCTTTCAATTTTTCAACACTGAGTATGATGTTAGCTGTGGCTTTTTCATATATGGCCTTGATTATATGTTGAGGTATGCTCCCTTTAAACCCACCACTGACAGTTTTTATCATAGACAGATGTATTTTGTCAAGTGCTTTTTCTGCATCTATTGACATAATCATGTGATTTTTTTATCCTCCCTCTTGTTAATACGATGTATCACATTGATTGATTTGTAAATAATGAACCATCCTTGCATCCCTGAAATAAATACCACTTGGTGATGCTGAATTCGGTTTACTAATGCTTTGTTGAGGATTTTTGCATCTATATTCATCCGGGATCCTGGCCTGTAGTTTTCTTTTCTTTTCTTTTCTTTTTTTTGTAGTGTCTGGTTTTGCTATTAAGGTAATAAAAGCTGGCCCTGTCAAATGAATTTGAAAGTTTTTCTTCCTCTTCTGGTTTTTGGAATAGTTTGAGAACAGGTACTAACTCTTTAAATGTTTGGTAGAATTCACCTGTGAAGACATCTGGTCCTGGACTTTTGTTTGTTGGGATTTTTTTTAATTACCAATTCAATGTTGTTACCAGTAATCTGTTTGTTCAGGTTTCTTATTCTTTCTGATTCAGTTTTGAAAGATTTTATGTTTCTAAAAATTTATCTATGTCTTCTACATTGTCCAACTTGTTGGCATATAATTTTTCATTCTATTCTCATATCTTTTGTATTTCTGTGGTGTCAGTTGTTATTTCTCCTCTTTCATTTCAGACTTTTATTTACTTGAGTTTTTTTTTTTTTTTCTTCCAGAGTCTGGCTAATGGTTTGACTATTTGATCTTTTCAAAGAACCAGCTCTTATTTTCATTGATTTTTTTTTCTTTTTAGTCTCTATTTCACTTATTTCCACTCTAATTTTTATTATTTCCTTCCTTCTACTAACTTTGAGCTTTGTTTGTTTCCCTAGCTCCTTTAGTTGTAAGGTTAGATTGAGATTTTCCTTGTTTCTTGAGGTAGGCTTGTATTGGTGTAACTATCCCTCTTAGAACTGCTTTTGTTGTGTCCCAAAGATTTTGAAGTTGTGTTTCCATTTTCATTTGTCTCCATGTATTTTTTTTTTATTTCCTCTTTGATTCTTCACTGACCCACTAGTTGTGTAGCCTCCATGTGTTTGGGTTTTTCCAGTTTTTTTTTTCTTTGTAATTAATTTCTAGTTTCATACTGTTGTATTCAGAAAAGATGCTTGATTGATTTTAATCTTCTCAAATTTATTGAGATTTGTTTTGTGGCCTAACATGTGATCTATCCTAGAGAATATTCCATGCTCATTTGAAAAGAATGTGTATTCTGCTGTTTTGGGGTTGAATGTTCTGTATATATCTGTGAAGTCCATCTGGCTGAATGTGTGGTTCAAAGCCAGTTTCCTTTTTTTTTTTTAAATTTTAAAACTCCTTTATTCATTCTTCAGTATCCTCTCTGGAAAAGGGCACATATACTGAGAATCAAAGCCAGTTTCCTTACTGATTTTCTGTCTGGGTGACCTACCTATTGATATAAATGAGGTGTTAAAGTCCCCTACTATTACTGCATTACTGTCAATTTCTCCCTTTAAGTCTGTTAATATTTGCTTTTAGATTGAACCCTTTTTATCATTACATAATGCCTTTCTTTATCTCTTATTACAGTCATTGTTTTAAAGTCTGTTTTGTCAACAAAAATAAATGAATAAAATAAATTTAAAAAATTAAAAAAAAAAAAAGGTCTATTTTGGTCTGATGTAAGTATTGCTACCCAACCTTTTTTTTTCACCTCCATTTCTATGGATTATCTTTTTCCATCCCTTCACTTTCAGTCTGTAAGTGTCTTTTGATATGAATTTTTCTCTTATAGGCAAGAGGGGTCTTGTTTTTTTTTTAATCCATTTTGTTACCCTATGTTTTTTGCTTGGAGCATTTAGTCCATTTATATTTAAAGTAATTATTGATCAGTATATACTTACTGTCATTTTGTTAATTGTTTTCTGGTTGTTTTTATAGTTCTTCTCCGTTCTTTCTTCTTTCATTCTCTTCCCTTGTGGTTTGATGACTTTCCTTAGTGTTATGCTTGGATTCCTTTCTCTTTATTTTTTGTGTATCTACTATGGAATTTTGATTTGTGGTTACTATGGGGTTCATATATAACATCCTATATATATAGCAGTCTACATTAAGCTGATAATCACTTAAGTTCGAACACATTCTAAAACACTAAATTTTTACTCCCCTATCCACATTTTATGCATATGATATCATATTTTACTTCTTTTTGTGTATTCTTTGACTAATTTTTACAGGTATGATTGATTTTTACTATTTTTATGTTTTAACCTCCATATTGGCTTCATATATAGTTTTTATAAACAGTGAATATTTTTTCCTTTCATAATTTTCTCATTTCTATTTATGAACTTTTCCTTCCACATAAAGAATTCCCTTTAACATTTCTTGTAAGGCCAATTTAGTGGTGGTAAACTCCTTTGTTTGTCTGGGAAACTATCTCCTTCAATTCTGAATCATAACCTTGCTGGGTTGTAGGTTTTTTCCTTTTAGCACTTTGAATATATCATGCCCCTCCCTTCTGCCCTGAAAAGTTTCTGCTAAAAAATCAGCTGATAGCCTTATGGGGTGTCCATTATATGTGTTTGCTTTTCTCTTGCTGCTTTTAATATTCTCTCTTTATCTTGAGTTTTTGCTATTTTAATTATTATGTGTTTTTGTGTGGACATCCTTGGGTTCATTTTATTTGGGGCACTCTGTGATTCCTGGACCTGGGTATCTGTTTCCTCTCCCAGATTAAGGAAGTTTTTCTTCAAATTATTTCTTCAAATAAGTTTTCTGTCCCCTTTCTTTTCTCCTTTGGGGGCTCACTATAATGTGAATGCTTGATGATGTCACTGAGTTTCCTTAATCTATTCTTATTTATTATTATTCTTTTTTCTTTTTGCTGTTAAGGTTGGTTGCCTTCCATTATCCTGTCTTCCAGATCACTGGTCCATTCTTCTGCATTCTCTAATCTGCTGCTGATTCCCTCTAGTGTATTTTTCATTTCAATTAGTGTATTCTTCAACTCTACCTGGTTGTTTTTTATAGTTTCTATCTCTTGGTTGAAATTCTCACTGAGTTCATCCACTTTTTTCTCAAATCCAGTGAGTACCTTGATGATCATTCCTTTGAATTCTTTATTAGGCTTGTAAAAGGGACAATTACTGAATAAGTTGGTTGCAAAGAATATGAAATAAAATCAAATGTCTTTATTTTCCCTTCTTTAATAATTAAACTTAAGTCCACAAATATAATTAGGCCAAAATGCAAGAAAATTTCACTGAATGTGAAAGCCTAGGATTTTTAGCATTGTTTTAACATATGTGTGTGCTACAAAGTATTTAAGGAAAAATAAAAAAAAGTCAGTATTAAAAGAAAGTCTCTATCTTTGCACAGGGCACTGCCCACTTCTTAACAGTGTATCTGCCAGAAATGTCTCTACAAAATGCTAAGGTGTCATGGTGCAGGGTGACTTTTCTCAATCCTGAACAAACGTGACATGTTTCCAACATAAACTAGCACGACATAAAGTAAACTTAATTAGTTACTCAAAGACAAAGAAGCACTAAGCATGGTGCTGAAAACAATTTCCTTTTAATACATGTTTGCTAAATGATGGACTTAAGATGCAAATATAAACTGTAACCCACATTACTGGCTTTTCTGATATAGGTGCTTATGCCCTCATCATGTTCCAAAAGGGTTAAGGCAACTAAAAAACATGCATAAAAATGATAAACTGAGACTAAGAAGAAAAGTTGCAACACTGTAGGTGAACAAGATGGAGCGAGTAAGCATGTACTTGACAACTTCATCTGCACTGTATAGTAAGATTTAAAAATGCACATATTATCTTTCTATTGAAGGACCATGCTATTTGTTGCATTTTTCTTCTCTGAAAGTAGTCAGAATAAACAGTAAATAGGATTTTTCCTAATGAGGGGTCTGGGAACTAGGAATGTTTTGGTTCAAGAAAACATCTTCAGTTCCACAAATCATTGTTTAGAATAAACAACAATAGAGCAGAAGGCATGCAGACTCTAGTCTGAAGATCAGTAAAATCTGGGGGGAGACAGAGAATAAGTGTCTTTACAGATTTCTTTAAGCATTGGGTAATAATAATAAGTAAAAGTATACCTGCAAGTTGTATTATGGAACCAAATAAACAAAAAACTAGAAATCTATATTTAATACAAGCAAACATAAACAAACCACAAGAGGAAGCATAAACCACTTTATCTCAGATTCCCAGAAAGTCCACTTACCTATTGCTTGAGCTAAGGCTATTACAACCTCCTGGCAAGTTGTAACTTCGGTGACCCCACAAACAATCCTCTGAACTCCATCCACCCATACTTTAAGTTCCATGGTGCACCAGCCAGTCACCCAAGGGCCCTGAGACTTGTCATCAAGGTGTCAGGTCATGTCGCTGGCTATGGAAATATGGGGAAGGCAGTCTTGTGTAGTCAGCTAAAAAGAGGAAAAAACATTTTTAATAAAATGAGTCTTCAAATTTCTTCTATTAAGTATTATGCAAAATAAATTCTAGTATCTCATAATCCTACTACCATTAATGACCATGTACATACTTATTTTATAGAACTGAATTCAGTAGCATGAATACAACTACAGTTACTTCTTCATGATATTGTTTCATATTACTATAATTTTCATAATTATAATTTTAATCATAAAGTAACTCTAAGAAATCAAAAAGCAACTCTAAGAAATCTTACTTATTTGACTAAGCCCTACTGCTCAACATATAAGCTATTCCTTTTTAAAAAAAATTTTTTTAATTAACATATAATGTATTATTTGTTTCAGGGGTAGATGTCTGTGATTCATCAGTCTTACACAATTCACAGCGCTCACCATAGTACTTACCCTCCCCAATGTCCATCACCCAGCCACCCCATTCCTCCCACCCTCTCCACTCCAGCAACCCTCAGTTAGTTTCCTGAGATTAAGAATCTCTTATGGTTTGTCTCCCTCTCTGGTTTCATCTAGTTTCATATTTCCTTCCCTTCTCCTATGATCCTTTGTCTTGTTTCTCAAATTCCTCATATCAGTGAGATCATATGATACTTGTCTTTCTCTGATTGACTTATTTTGCTTAGTATTATGCTATTCCTTTCTTTAAAAAAAAAAAAATCTTATCAGGATCATTTGTAAGGTTAAAAAAAAAGTTTTTGTCATTTTTTTGAATAATAAACCAGTTGAACCAGTTTCCCTAGCCTTGCCAGCATTTGTAAATCCATCTTCATAATTCCATTGCATTCCTTTGTTTATTGTGTCCCTTGCCTCCCTCTCTTCACCAAAGGGCTGAGTGTCCTCTTCAACACTAAAACTCCAACACCAACCACAGTATAAGGCATAGGTGTGCAGAAAATATTAGTTGATGGAAATTAATTCCTTTACTGGCTGACAACTTCCCCATGTATGAACTGTTTGTCCTTTTCTCATTTGAGGTTTGATAGTATTCTTAAATTACAAGAGTTATTCTAATTATATAAACCTCAACTTTTTGTTACACTTGCTGTTTCCTCATTGTTTGATTTTTTTGTTTAGCTGCTTATATATATATATGCCAAGCAGAAATTTTTACATTCTCACACAGTCAAACCCAAATGTCTTGATTTCTTGTATTGATTAGAATGTTATTATTAGCTGGTTAAAAATGAATTGCACACAATTCTTTTTCCTGTAGGTTTTTAAAATCTCAGCTCTTCCTGTGTTAAAACTTTAATTAATCTGTGATTTGTTTGTCCAATGTCCTATGATCTTCCTATTTTTTTGCTGGTTTTTGAAAAGAATGCTAGTTTATGAGATGTAATAAACATTGATTTAATTAAAATGAACATTTAAATTTATTTAAAGGTCGACAATGGAACTGGTGTTTCAGGATTAATGACTTACTGATTTAAAAAACACTAAAAACATGTCTAGTAAGACAGTATTTACTACAAACAGTAACATAGTCTTTGTGCATTTTCTTAAAGGACCTAAGATAGTTCTAGGCTACCTGTCACCTGGGTATATGAGTCAGAACACACATGAGTGAAGGAGAATAAGCCTATTGCTTTCTCCAGAGAAGGTACAAAAATACTTTTTGTCATCCTGAAAACAAGGGAAAGGACTGACTGTTTCCCAGTGTGTTGATTTGGCTCCCTCTGCCTACACATTGAAGTGCCAAGGTGGTAACCCCCTACATGCCCAGAAGAAGGGCCACTTGCCTCTGACAAGCTAATTTCCATAACTGTGTTCCTCAGTTATGACATCCCGTGAGATGCTAAAGTTTCTGGGGGCCAGGGGGAAGGGTTCCAAAGCCAAAGAAATGTAAGAAATCTTCCAAATAAAGTTAAACAAGTTTCTTTACAGTTAGACTACTCTGAGCATTTAATAGGCTGTTGCACACTCAAAATTACAAAGAGAGGTTTATATATGCTACTGTCCCCAGTCCATTTAAAGACCACTTAAGGAAAGGAAACAGAAGAATTCTGACTTAAAACAAGATCTTTTTCCTTCTCTGTCAGCTGCTCTATTTACTAAAAATAGAATATGTATTATTCCTCTTGGAAAAAAAGATTAAAAAATGGCCAAACATTAATATATTGTACTAAATTAATATATTAAAATTAAATTATTTTATTAAATAAAAAACTCAGCTGAGTTTAAAAAACTAAACTGAATTAAAATCTATTTAATACCTACTCCATTATTTTTCATTAAAAGATCTTAAACTTGGGAAACCTAGCAAGAAAGACAGATTTCATTAAAGGCCTCCTCCCCCAAGAGAAACCTGTCATTTAAAAGAAACTTATGAGGTTCATTTCTAAATTCTATAAAAGTTTTAGTATATCACATTTTCTTATCTTGAATTATCATTGTTTTACCTCAAACTTTTAACCATTAAGTGAATACAAAGGAACATAGAACACATGTACATCTGTTAAATATTACAGAGTATAATAACGTTGTGGGAAAACATTGAGCATAAATAATATTGCTTAGTTGATATAAACTTGCAGGGTATTTAACCTCTTGATCAGAGACTTCCTACCACAGCTCATCACAGAGAAGACCATCTGCATTTTTCTTTTAACACCATTAATTTTATCTTTCAAACTTAAATCCTTAAGGAGAGTAAAAAAGATGCCTTAATAGATCAGATCAGGGACGCCTGGATGGCTCAGTCAGTTAAGTGGCTGCCTTCAGCTCAGGTCATGATCCCAGCGTCCTGGGATAGAGCCCCGCAACTGGGCTCCGTGCTCAGCAGGGAGCCTGCTTCTCCCTCTCCCTCTGCCTGCCTGTCTGCCTACTTGTGATCTCTCTCTGTCTCTCTGTCAAATAAATAAAATCTTAAAAAAAAAAAAAAAGATCAATGAACCACATGGTCCAAAATTTTATTTCTAGCACAACCACTATTTTCAAAATATGGCTTCTGTCAAGTTTGGGGCTATACTAACAATCATCCCCCTAGCTTCCCTAAAAATCACAGTGTTATTCATGAAAGTCATTTGAAGAAACTGTCTTCTCGGTAGAAGCCCCTACTACTCCCTTCCGTTTTATCATCCAGAGTCCAACTCCTATGGCTCTGCTCCCAGACCCACAACTAGACTAGAGGGAAAATGGAAGTCCTACACTGTAGGTGGATTGCTCATCACTGGAACTAAGGACTCAAGAAGCTAAAGGGCTTTGGCATCTCAGTTGGAATTTGGAATAAATTTTTCCATGGAAACAATGATGTAGGTAGAAGTAAGGTTCTATTGCTAGGGCATTATATTATAGTTCTTATTGTTTTTACCATAAGGTCTCTATATTCAAATCATTATTATTTTATTTTTTATAATAAAAATTAAGTTTATTCAGTAACATGTTACTGGGAACAAGTGTTCTTTAGTTAAAAACTCTTATCTTGAAAGCCTATTGGAATTAAGCATGGGCATTTGTGGAGACATATTCCCCCCAAAACAGTGCTTTAATAAAACAATTTTAGTCAATCCTCATTATTCACGGGTTCCTATTTGTGAATTCACCCACTCACTAAAATTTATTTGTAACCCCAAAATCAATCTTTATGGCACTTTCAGAGTCATTCAAAGACACGTATATAGCAGTGAAAAATCTGAGTTGCCTGACCTACATTCCCAGCTGAGGCTGTAAAGAAGCAATACTCTGCCTTCTTTCAGGTTTCATACTGCCGACAAGTTATCTTTTTTCAGTGTATTTAGTGCCATGTTTTGGCATTTTTGTAGTTTTTGTTGGTGATTTCACTGTTGAAAATGGCTCCCAAGCATAGTGTTGACACTATCAAGTGTTCCTAAGTACAAGAAGGCTGTGATGTGACTTATGGAGAAAAGTACATGTTGTTAGGTAAGTCTTGTTCAGGTACGAGTTAGAGTGCTATTGGCTGTGAGTTTAATGGCAATGAATCAACAATATATGTCACATAAGGTACCTTTCTACAGAAAAACACATAAAACGAGGTGATATACTATCTGATCAGCTGATGAAACTGTTGTGACCAAAGGCTCTCACAAATAACAAGAATTGACTGCATACTTTAAAATGGTATAACTTCCTTGTGATGGCTACCATCAAGCTACTAAGCAAACTGCATTACTCCCTGGACACTAGACACAAGCATACAGGTGGCTTATTGCCAATTTTTACACTTCTTTCATGTCCAGTTTTGTTCCATATCTATGGTTATTGCATATTAAAGCATTCTTTATAGAAACAGCATACAGATAAAATGTGTTATAATAAAATCTTCACAATCAAGCTAGCTACTTTAATTAAAAAAACACTGATGCTAGCCACTAGTTCTTTTGGCATCATACAGAAAGAGATTCTGCACAATGAACACTGTATATTCTGAACAGTACTTATTAGAACTAATAATCAGATACCCAAATTCTCTTTTGTACAGAAAGCTAGTTAAAAAATAAAATCTAGGGGTGCCTAGGTGGCTTAGTCGGTTGGGTGATCGACTCTTGGTTTTGCTCAGGTCATGATCTTGGGGTCATGGGATCGAGGCCTGTGTTGGGCTCTGCGCTCAGCGGGGAGTCTGCTTCCCCCTCTTCCTCTGCCCTTCCCCCTGCTTGCAAATGTGCACTCTCTCTCAAATAAATAAATCTTTAAAATAAAAACTAAAGGGAGTTTAGATTACCTCATTCTAAAACTAATTTGATGTGAGATTAAGTGAAGTTATGGAAAACAACTGTTATGAACTAAAAAAGTATTAACTTTTTAATGTTCAAATGGTTACTGAGGTAAGTAAAAAAATGGGTACTTCTTGCCTGTGGGAGATGGAAAAGTAACCAAAGATAAAAACAAATAACAACAACAACACAGAAACAACCTGGAGAACACGACAGGATGAAGCACAATAAGAGAAGGAGAGAGTGAAAACACATTAGGAAGGAAAAAGTGGGTAAGAAAACAGATTTTGGTAGGTACAAGTA